AGGGAAAGAAATACTAGAGACAAAAGATGGCCCCAAATACCATGTATATGAGGGAACAAGTTCACTTTATCGTAATTCTTCAGTCAGAAGACACTGTATCCCCATCCTCAATTATCAAGTAATTCCAAACACTGGATTGTTACTCTGAAAAATGCTAAAAAAATTCTCAGAATATTCTGTGTAACTTTTCAGCTCAGGTGTAAATGTTGGAAATAATAGTGTATGTGAACAGAGTTCACACCAATTAATATTAATCATAAAAGCATTCTTTAAAATGTGAACACCAAATATCACTCCATCCAAGGCCAGTAGGGATGGAATTCAGATTTTATAATAATGCAGTTGAATGTCAATATCAAAAATATCCCCAAAACAAGAACACAAAACCCCAAACAAAAAAAAAAACAAAAAACAAAAAACAAACAACCCAAAACACCACCACCCCTAAACCCATACATTCCAAGCACATTTCCTTGTGAAATTTGTCAGTCTCCTCTTGGTTATAAAAGATACCATCTTAAGAAGTACATGCACTCACGATAATATATAAAAGCTCACAATTTCTAATGCTTTCAAAGCAAAAATAAAGTATTGTTTTACAAATCTTGCATCATAAAGCAAACATTTACCACAACAACAAAACACAAATCAAAACCCTGAACCTTTGAAAACTGTTAATAAAGATCACTTGTTGAATGCAATATAGGTTCTTACTTTACAGCTTAGTGTAGTAAGATATATTGTAGTCTATTAAATAGAAAGTTCAAAGTTATGATTATGAGTCATCAGGAATCAAATAACACTTGAGAGATGAGAAAGTCTGAAGAAGTTGATGAAAATACCAACCACAACACTGTTGTGCCCTATTAGGCCTCTGGAACTAGGTGATTTTAAGGTCCTTTCCAAACCTAACCATTCTATGATTATCTAAAGGAATGAATATTTCGTCTTTGAGTAGTGGTCAAGAGATGTTCTCTCCCCTGCAATGGCAAGTCCAACCCACTGAATGGAGCTGACCACAGATGGAGCATTTCTGCGCTGCCCCTCCTGGACAATACAGTTATACCCCGAAGCATGAGACTGGATTCACTTTATTGTGGTTTCGAACATCCACAGATACAAAGATATTAATGGTCACATTGCTCAGGCATTTATAAAAACCTTGATAACGGTACCTTCGTGGTTTCTGGCTACAGCAAATTCTAAGTAGAATAGAAGTATATGCAGCATGCACTAAAGCACTTTTTTTTTTTTTTTTTTAGCATGCATATAGAAAACAACAATTAAAGTCCTTCTCCCTTGCAGTTACACAGAGGGCTTCAAACGCGATTATTAACAAAAATTGTACATAAAACCTCTCCCTTTACTGAGAAGGTTATGGCTTAATACTTGGAGAATTCTGTTTTCAAAGTAGCTTATATTTCTTACCTGTATGGTAAAATGTGAGGAAAAACAAAAGCACTCCCATAAACACATTACTCAAAAAGGTGACAACTCCACAGGTTATTCCTTCTGGAACAGGGTAGACTGTCTCCACGAAGAGCTCAAAGAATATTGGTACGCTGCTGTTGAGGAATATACCCAACAAAATGCAGGACGTGTATAGTGTAGCTGTAATGGAAACAAAAGTTATTAATTTCATGCTGGCATTTTTTTCCCCTATTCAGAGCTGCCAAGAATACTAATACTTGAATAACCAAAAAATGCATAAAATGATTTTTATCCTCTGTGTATCACAAAGCATATCACACCCCACTTAGTTTCAGGCAGAATGCGTGCATTGATTTGGGAGGGAGGGGAGGGGGGGAAGCAATATCAGAAATTTTAATTTTTTCTTTTATCTTCATTTTTTATTTTTAAACAGAACCCATGAAGACACATTCAGCCATTTGAAATTCACTTGCAAGTAAAAAACCAACAAAATTATGAATGCAAAGCATCACCTACATTTTCATTTACCTCTGAAATGAATGCAAACTATTGTCCTCCACACAATTAGGAAAGCGAGCAATTAGTGCACCAAATTGGAAATGGACATAGATTAAACTTTTGACTTAGCTCTAAAGGTCAAAACTAATTTTGCTTCCATTTTACATATAAATACTAATGATCTACCAGATATCAAGACATTAGTATTCAGCATGGACTGAGCTGCAACATGTTGAACCCCTTTTGGCTTCAAAAGGAAATGAAGGGCACCCAGCACCTGGCATGAACAGGACATATTTTCACCACTCTACAACAAATTGTTTTTCTTGGACAAACCAACAGAAGAATACAGATGTTTCTTCAGTAGCCTCAGATATTTGTTGTACCGTTTCTGACACTGCCAAGTACTTTACAGCTTAATATCTTAATACAGATGCGTAATATGCTATAGTAGTACCTATTTAGAAATGTAAATAATGTGCTATCTTGGGAAGGGAGCGATTCCCTGACCTGCAACCTCGTCAACCTGAGATTCCTGATCAAGTAAAAAGTACATGGAAAATATAAGGCAGCTCAGGGTAAAAAAAAAAGAGGTCTGGAATAATTTCTGAAGTTACCATCAAATGACAAGGAAATGTTAAGAAAAATTTTTCAGATACAAAAGTGTTACAAAGTCACAGGGAAATTATTTATAGCATCTTTTAAATACAGTATGGTACAAAATTTTTAGACAGGTTTTTTCATTTAGATATATATGTTTATATAAAATAGAAACTGCATTTTCAGTTTAATTTATGTTCTTCTGTCTTGGGAAGGGGAGAAGTGAAACGGCTCTGCTTCATCTTCTGGTATGCATTGCCCAAGCTTTCAGCTGAGAAACTGCCAGGAAGCAGGAAATGTCCAGCTTAAAAAAATACTTAAAAAATCCATGTTTCTTAAAATATGAAGAATCATGGAAAATAGATAAAGGCATTAAAAAACAGAAAGGACTGTCTATCAGATCCTCTGTTTGTTGTGGTTTGCTTCCAAGGCACAAAGACATATTTCTTTCTCTACAGAGGATTTGCCTGGGCAGGAAAAAGAGGACAGCAGTCCCAGCCAGAAAGATGATATAGATCGTACGACTGCAGGAGGGACATCTGGCCCCTGCTATATATGTATATATACTAGAATGTTCTGAATTAAGACCAAAAAAAAAATAAAAAATACAGTTTTCCAACTCTCAAATTCTCTTCTTACAAACTGCAGAATAAGTCAAAGAAAGTGATGCAAGGTATGTTCAAGAGTTGTCAGAGATGAAGGAAAAAAACCCCAAAGCACTATAGGGTTGGGGTTGTTCAGGCCGGAGAAGAGAAGACTCCAGGGAGGCCTTTCAGTTCTTAAAAGGGGCCTGTAAGAAAGATAGGAAGGGACTTTTTAGCAGGGCTTGTTGCTACAGGCTGGGGGTAATGGCTTTAAACTGAAAGAGGGGAGATTAAGGCTGGATGTGAGGAAAAGATTCTTTACTGTAAGGGTGGTAAAATATTGGAACAGGTTACCCAGAGAGGTAGTGGATGCACCATCCATGGAAACATCCAAGGCCAGGCTGGATGTGGTTCTGGGCAACCTGATATTGTTGAACATGTTCCTGCTCATTGCAGGGGGGTTGGACTAGATGAGCTTTGAAAGTCCCCTCCAAAACAGTTCTATGATAAGAATGCTCTTCCTAACAGGCTCTTCTAGCTAACACTGAAGAACTCATTCCCTTGTTACAAGACTCAGAGATTTCTGCTGCAAGTTCTCACCAGTACTTAAAATTCCATGAACCTCCTTTGGAACTCCTGTTTATTTCCAACACCACTGTGTATTGCTCTGTCTCTAACTGCTGCAAGGTACAAACAGCAAATCCAAACATATTCAGCTCTTTGAAATTTTTGTGTTGGCTTGAGAAATCAACATGTAAACGAAACAGAAGAATCTTTTAAGACAAATGAGCATCTGTCCCTTGTTACACTCAATTGAATATATCTGTATCTGTAACTACTTGTAACTTCTAGAGAACTTTTTCAGAACTTTCCCCACAGAAAAGAAGGTAGTAGCCAGCTGTAATTCTGTATCTGAAACTCAAACAGTGGAAATAGCTGTGAAGCTGCTCAAAGCCACAACAGCACCATCAAAAGTGAAGCTGCATACAGAGTGCCAGAGGCAATACCTCTACTGGAAGACTGAAATCTGTTCCATGAAGAACAACAGCCGTGAAAGGAGAATCACGTGCCTCTGAAGAGAGAGAAACTCTAGACATGTAATTTCTGGAAACTTAAGATTCACATCTGATAAAGGCAAAAATGTGCATCTAAAATCGGCAGCCATTTAAAAGATCAAGATTTTAAATTACAGTCAATTCAGTAGGTGCCAAAGTTTCTACAAAACAAACAGAAGCCTTCAAAATAAATTTGTTGGTTTAAAATATGCTAGTTGAATTACATCATTGCTCATCACTTACTAAACTGTATTAAGATGACTAGACCATAAGGAAACAAGCATAAAAACTCTATACTTTAGAAACTACAACCTTACATTTCCTTTTCACAACACCTTGCTTCAGTCATGCAAATATATCCACTAGCGCACACCTCACACTTCCATATTATCATGATCAAAGCAGCTTTAGCTTTGGTACTCCCCAAAGTATTACCTGTCTCACATGTTCATGCCAAAACTGAGGTCAGAGGTAATACTTATAAAACAACGTCTACATATATGCACACACATACTTGGAATTAATAAGCTGAAGTGTCAAGGCAAAAGGACAGGCAGAATACAGGGTCCAGCAGATGTTAATTTAAGTTCTAAGATCTAGTGGAAATGAGAGCTTTTAACTGGTAGACCAAAAAAAGAAGCTCTGAAAGCGAAGGAGAGGTACACATCTATAAGCCTCCCTTAATGAGGATATATTGTAGTGATGGATGGAAAAATATTTTTATTTCATGTTTCTGTAAATCATCCAGGGTCCTCCTGAGTGCTATACAAATAAGCTTATTCCATTAACTTGGCAATTAAGTCACAAATCCAATTGGTCAACTACACAGAAAGTCAAAGTTAAGATACACAGTTTCAGAAAAAATAAGATACAGGAAAAAGTCAAATAAGAATTCAAAGTAGCTTTTGCCTCTTACTTCACTCACTAAATAGCACATCTTGTATTTCAGCTCACAGGCAACAAGATACTGTAGGAGGGAGAATATGACCCATTAATAGAGACCATTTACTTTTCAGTGCAGTGACCTTGTATTGAATGAACACAAACAATTACCATGATTTTATACGGTAGAACAGCTGCTAAAGTTACAGCAAATGTTTTTTCAATTAAGACTATCTTGATGACAGTCATTGGAAATGAATCTAAGGATATGAAAGCACTGACCAAAAAAAAAAAAAAAAAAAATGAAAAAGAGAAAAAGAAAAAAGAAAAAGAGATGATTTACCAAGAAGCTAACATTATATCCTTAAGCCTAACAAGGACAAACAACTAGCTTGGATAGGCATACACTGGGGAAGCATATCATGTGATTAGTATAAAAGATCACTTTTTCATAGGAAAAGGAATTAACTCCCTACAAAGCTATGCACAAAGTTGTGTACCCAAGATAGTGGCAGCTGTGGACATCAATAAATAATGGAATTCGGCTGGTTTTCTTTGAACTATTTTGATTAATTCAATGTTTTAAAGATGCTTGTGTGACTTAAGTAACTAATTCTCAGCTTGGCCACTGCAAAAAGATCAGGGAAGGCAAAACACCCATCCAAAACACAGCTGCTTAAGAGAATTGGCCTGGAGCTGCTGCAGCAGGAGGTTCAAGCTAGGCTTTGTCATGTCATGTTCATGCTTGAGGTGTGAGGCAACCCATGCTATTCCCTCAGTGCTCATTCTCCTGGCCAGGATGGAAGCAAGGATTGAAATGTGTCTTGATAATAATGATAGAGATGTTCCTAGTTAGGTGAAGCAAGGTACCAGCTAGGGACTGATGGTGATACCAGTAGCTTAGCATAAGAAGAAGAAAAAGCAGTAAGAAGGAAGGTTCCTTCCTGGCTTCTTATACTCTGCAGGTCTTCAGCTACCAGTTGGCAAATGCATGCCTGTATCCCAGAAAGATACTTCCTTTTCTCCCAGCCACAAGCTGTGGTAAAAGCTTTATACCAAGAAGAAAAGAAATTAAAAAAAAGGAAAAAAATTAAAAAAAGGAAACAAAATTGGGAATTCAAACAGGGATGTGATTTAAATGACAGCCTGCACTTGGTGTCCCCAGATGAGCTTGCAACACAGCAGGAGTTTCAAGTATCTCTGACATCCAAACAAGTTCCCAGAACTGCCCAGGATGTTCTGCAACATGTTTACCAATTTATTCTTAAATTATACCATCACTAAATGTATAACTACAGAGTGCGATCCAAATCCAAACGAAATTAATGGAAGGGCCTCCACTGATGTAAATAGTTATCAACCCATTGGCACGTACATCTTGGATTATTTTTAACAAATAGTATGAAATCTTACCGTCTCTAACCAAAAAAAAAAAAAAAAATGGAAGAAAAAAGTATTTTGCACATAAATTTACAAGGGAAATGCAGATACTCTAGAGCAGTATCAACTGCAAGCAGGTGGTACAGTATCTCCTTCCAAAGTGCTCTGCCAGAAACTCTTGAACTCTGTACATTTTGTAACAGTTCTCTTCTCACACAGTCTGAGCCAAGACTCACACAAATTTCATATGGATAAACAGGAAAGTAAATAAAACTGAGTATGTTCTCTTGGGTGCAGCATACAATTTAAAGCAAAACCTGCAGAGATCTAGGGCATTTTGTTATTACTGTTATAACAGTATCCATGCCAAAATGAAGGATAATGCCTCATATGGATGCATGCTTCTTTGACATCAGTATGCCCACAAATGATCTTATCAAATCAAAGTTTGTTCCTACCAAACTCTGTAATGTTTTGAAGTGGAATTAAACTTCCCTTTAATTCTTGCTACTGGCCATGGTAAGAATAGTCATGGAAGAAGTCCTCCTGTTTTTCCATGAAAAATGTGACTCCCTGAAGGTAAGACAGTAGTTTTTACTGTAATTTGCTTATAGAAAAAAAAACAACCCTGAAACCAAGTAAAGAGCATTCACTTGGCAGAACTAAGCAGCGAAGAAATTACTGAGTGGGCATAAAAAAAAAAAAAGAAGGGGGGAGTGGGGCTGAAAATCATACAATATTTGAGGCTTGCAATTGATGGATTTGCTATTGATATTGATTTTCATCCCTGAAATGCTCCTCCCAAATTTCAAGCACTGTACACTATTTAACACTGGGTTTTAAATGAACCTCTTAAATTAATTCTTCTTTAAGTTCTACCTTTGGATTTACAGAAGCCTTCAGGAAAACAAAGGTGATTTCCCATCTTATGAGTGGGGAAAGCACAACAGGAGTGGGGGTAATGATTTCCCCACAGCTAGAAGCATGTTAATGCTGAAGCTAGAAAAATAGATGTTTTCAGGCTACTGTCTTATGCTCTGGGTCCTCCTGCCTTATACTTATCAACCACATCTTGTTTATAGTAAAGAAATCAAACTCAAAGGATAAAACAATCAGTCTTAAATAATTACCAGCTCTCTTTTTCAATACTGTACTTTATAGATGAGGTCAGGGAGACAGATACGTTTATACTGTTTGATCTGTTGAACCTGAAAATAAAGGGTAGGCTGCTTAACCTAAATACAGTCATCAACTCAAGGAGTTGCCCCTGCATTCAGAGTATCTGCTGTGCAGCACTAGGAAAGATTTTGTAAAGCAAAATTCTGCTGAATGTGCTCATAAATATTAGAATATTCGTGATATGCTATGCTGAAAACATTCAATCTGAGCCGTGAGCATCTAGCGTTGCATATCAATTTTTGGAAAATGCTGGTATTTGTATCCAGATATTACCAGCAATACAAAGTGGCAAGAATCTGAAACTGGCATTACAATGCCTTACACAATTATGCTGGGTCAAAGTATCCCATTGTACATAAATTCACATAATGAAGTTCAGTACAAAGCAAGCTAACAATGAACTTGGCACAGGGAAACAGATCAGCAGCTGCATTGGGATTTCAATGGAGAAAACTATTTTAATGCTCAATGTGTACATAAAATTGTCTTTGAAACTTGCTGAAAAATGCAAATAATATACATTAAAATTGAGATTTCTTAAAAGAAAATTCAAGCTTGCTTAAAATATAAACTGATTCCAGAATCAAGGGTTTTTAAGAGCTGTGATTAGCTGATGAGAGGTAGACAGTTGATATGGTAGCTATGATGGTACTATATCATTATCGCCTTTCCTTTTTTCCCCCCACACTGGCAATTCTAGTTCATACACATGACTCCAAATACACTTTTTAAAAAAATTTTTTGGAGATACATTAAGAAGTCAGCAAATGACAGAAAACTTGTCTTGCTCCGTGGCAGGAGAAAAATGGAGCATATTATGATAATACAGAGCAATGCAGGCATTACATTACACGATACAAACAATGCTGAACTATCATTGAAAGAAAACACAAGGCAGTCATTGATTTTTAATATCTGCATTAAAGGTCTCCATTCTAAGTAATTACATTTTGTAGGAAATATCTTTAAATTACGTCGTGCCTATTTACAAGGAATTAGGAGAATATTATACAAACAACTTCAGGAAAACCGATTTTGCTGTGACTATTTTTTCAAATACAATTCTTCCACCAATATTTAAACCAGACATTACTACAACTGCTACAATGAATACTGATTAAAAGAGGGGAGTTGGTTGGTTCATGTTTTAAAAACAAATCTTTACAGAGATTTTCTTCCCTTCCCTTTAGGGTGAATAAATGGCCAAACTTCCTCCTCTTTTTAGCATTTCAAAAGCCTGCTTCCATGCAAATGTACCCACCTGAGTGCTTACTCTGGAGATGAGGTGAGAGACAGGCAGAGGGTTTTCAGAAGAGGAGAATGAGCATGTATGCCACACAATATCCACATGCTAAAGGAAAACACTATTTTTGGGCCTGAGGAAACCACTGGTAAGGTCTACCTATGGTAGATCAAGCAGCTGTCAATGGTCTGCATCTGACCTCCTATATTTATATTCTGATATAATCTGCATCTCAAACTTTTAATTAAAAGAAGAAGAAAAAAGAAGTTCATCCAAATCAATTCAAATGTATCGTTTCTCCCAATTACTGTGAGATGCAGAGGTCATCATCATATTGCATCATTACATTGAGGAATAATCTAGCATGAAGTCCTATAAATTAGCTTAAATAACTTGTGTGTTTTCATCCATAACAGCATATTTCATAAAAATACACCACTGCTTTTCTGTGCACAAGGATATAAATTGAATAGGCACATTACATCTATTTTATACGAACTTTAATAAGAAAAGGCTGATATGAACCCCTGCCCACTTTTCTATGAAGTTTAAATGATATGCCACAAAAGGAAAAAGAGATCTGATTTGGTGGCTGCACATTAGGCCCTGATGCTTTAGATTGCATTTTTTTGAGGAATGCACCATACTGCTGGCACTTCTGTTCAAAACAAGCTTGAGTTTTATAGAAAAGGGTTCATCATTTACAATGACATAAAAGAACAGTACAAACAGAAAACTCTAAAATGTAATTTACAACTCAATCTAAGGAACCATCCATTTTAAAAGAAATTATAACTGCATGAAAAGAACAACCCAATCCCTAGAATTTTATCAAGGGATGCTAGCTTAGGATACTTTAGATCAAACCCCAAATACCTTACATACCTTTATATCCTGACAACGGATCATCTTTCCCACCATAATACACTTACATGCTATAAACGTAAGAATTCTTCTAGAACCTGCATCTCATGCTGAGTTCTTTACAGAAAAATAAAATCAGAGGCAGATCTCCATCAGTTTTGTTTTGGATCATTGGTGAGTACACACGTAATGACTTTCACCTCTTGAAACCTTTCCGCTTCATTCTTATGCATAGACTTGAAGGGACATTTTTGTGTTTGGCTTGTTGCATCAATTCAGAGGATAGAGTTATTGTAAAAATTCACATTACCGCAGGCTTGTAGTGATGAAGCAGACAAGCACAAGAAATAAGCTTTTATTGCATTTATTTTAGATTTGATGGAAAAGTGTAGTCATTTGGTATGACAATAGCCACCATGAAATTTGATTTGTTTATCGATTAAATTACATTTTTGGTTTTGTGTTGTTTGGTTTGGTTTTTTTTAAGTTGAAATTTCAAGATAAATCACAAATTTGACCTATCCAGACAGACAGTGTTTCTTCTGATTTGATCACGTATTTCAATTTGCTGTACCCACTTTAGTTTTTAGTTGTGACATATGCGATGCACCAAGGACACTTACTGAAATGCAAAGTTAATTTGTGAAAAACTGTATTTTATATACTATCTCCACACCAAACTCTTTATTTAAAATGGGAAAAAAATTCATTTCCCCTATAATGCATAAACTTGCTATAAACAAAGATGACATTTTATTTAAAATGGACTTACAGAATTCTTTAATAAATAATTTTAAAAAATCTTGATGGCTTAGCTTTACTGTAATGCATAACTCTGTTGAAGGTCTTGGAATCACAGGGGATGAGTCCTTAGATGCAGATAGTGAGGTGAAGGGCAGATTTTAAAGAACTGTGTCAATTTTCAACTAAGGGTACTGCTCCCTGGCAGCTTGCATAGACCTCTGAGCTTTTCCCCGTCTCCTGCCAACAGCTTTTTTCACCATCTATTTGAGGCACAGGCTGAGTTAATTTTGGGCTGGAAGAGTTCCCTGAACCTTCATGCAGGTGCAAAATGGAGGACAGCATAGCGCAGGGATAGCTTTAGATGGCTGAAAATACCATGGGTCACCTTGGTTTGAGCTGCATTACGTGTTTCCAATAATTAATGTAAGTTTCAAAACCTTACATTCCCGGACATGTCACTGCTTCTTACACACAGCATTACTTGCATTCATCTGATTTTTCTTGATTTCTCACCTCTGTTATTCCAAACCAGTCAAATCAGAAAAACACTCAGTCCCAAAATCAACTTTAAATGTAAATTCTGGGGTTTTATTATTGGATCTTGCTATTTTTTAATCTTTTTTGTTGAAGTTACCCAAAGCTGGTAAAGATCCTTCAGATTCAGTAGTCTTGGTAAAACTACTGTATCACTAAAGAAACCAAACCAAGTTATAATAAAGTTGATGTAAGACTGCACATATTTGCCTGATATACTGATTATCAATAATAGGAATTAAAATAATTGGCAGTACCTGTTGTTAAAGGCAGATGAGTGACACTAGTTAGACAGGTGAGAGTGAACCAGGTTGATGCTAATGTTGCTCCAGATAAAAGCAGCAGCAGTATAAACTTCAGCATGCCCCTGATAAAATCTGCAAATCTAAAATAAAAGCACAAATCAGACCAGGACAAATGCTGATTTTCATAATATTTAAATGTGATGCTTGACAATTAATCCACCATATTTGCACTAAATATTTTGGAGATTATAGAAACAGTTTAAGAATAATTTCTCATTTCCAGAAATAGAGAAAAGGCATTTTTATAGAATAGTAATATTTCTAGCTGTCAGCTGAAGAGCCTTGGATTTTTTAGCTGTCACAAAGTAACAACCAAACCAGAACAACTCTCGAGGCATCAATTGAAAACACTTGGTGTACAGGAAGGATTTTTTTTCTTCTGCATTTGTTGGACACAACATCACACCACTACTTACATCGCTGCTTTGTCAGCATTTGCCAGTCTCCCTTGGCAGACACACTGCTCAATTAGCATATAAGGAGGCTGCTGTATTTCATTCAAGAAATAGTTAAGCATCAAGATTTCATTCCTGTGGGAAATGCAAAAACTTCAAATACTAGAATCCCTAGAATGAAGATGACAAGGAACAGCTTCTGAACCTGTGGATGCATTAGCAACGAAGCTCTTGGTGGCTTAGCCAAAACAGGAACTCCATGCAGAGGTCACCCTGCTGGTGGCTATTTTGTGTTGAAATATTCCAGAAACCTAGAGGTTGGTGTGATTCCACTCCTACACATTCCCCACTGACAGTCTGGGGGAGGACAGCCCCACAAGTCCTTGGGTAATCTGTCTGTTACATAGAGGAAAATACAACCTTTGTACCACCTGATAGGACAATCGCTTTTATCATCTTTTTTCCTTTTTCTTTCAAGGAGACAGAATGCATTTGAGCAGCGCTCCTATAGCATAATTGTCAGTCCAACTTCTCTTTCAAAAGGAATTACCACATAGCTACTAAAAAAGATGTATTCTTAGAAAAGGCAATGTCATTTATCCACAAGTAATTTTCTATAATCTCCTGTTCAGATGTGATTTTGGGCTGGACAGATTAGGAATGCATGTCTAAAGAGTATCTTCTGTTCTCATAGCCTCCTATCTTGATTAGGCTAATGGCAAGCCTAATCCACCTAGGTTGGTCCATGATGAAATCTGTCCATCTGTCAGCTAACTGCCGCCTTTGCCCTGACGAAGATCACTTTACAGGGAGATACCTTATGGCTCACTTGATAAAAGAGATAATGCTACTGACATTTTGAGAACTAGGAACTTTAGTGCCACATATACCAAAAGAGATGTACAGGTACTGCAATCAAAACATAAAACAAAATCCAGAAAACATACTTCTTTCCTCTTATTTCGATTCTCCTGGTGCTTTAATTCCACACTGAATTTAGCAGCGAGTAATTGAATAAGCAGTAGCAGAAGATCAATGCTGCACATCATCTTAAAAGTTTATGACTGCAGCGTTCAAGTAGCTTATGCAATAATCTCCAATAGTCAGAGGTCAGCTGCTACTGTTGTTTTTTTCTGACAATCCAAATCCAGCAATCAGGATCACCTCTTCTTAGTAGTTTGCCAATTTCTTTAATTACTCTTTAGGATCAGTGGGGTCAGAATCAGCTATTATAAAAGAGTCAAAGAAGCATCTCAAAGTGCAAATTTTCAGCTTTCTCCACAGAGACTCCCCGCTTTGCCTGCCTGCAAACAACATCACTATTCCCTCTCCTTACAGAAAAGAGCAGTTACGTATATCCCATCTATTGAAACACAGTGTGAGAAATATCAGCCTCCAGGGAAGGATGTTTACATACAACAGGTTTGAAAGGGATCTCTAGGGGGTCCTCTGTCTCCATCCTACCACCAGGGATATGTGGGGTTGGGATGATGATATGCAACTAAACCATTCAAAATAGTTAAATGGAACAAGTACTCTACTGAGTAGCTGCAACTCTTTTGACACAAAGAACCTGTTTTGGGCATCAGTGGTAGCAGTGTGCTCCAAGGAGCTCTCGGATATCACAGGACTCCAGAAGGGTCAAATACAAACTGAACCGTTTATGTAGCTACCAAATTCAGCCAGTAACTGAAATAATAGGAAAAAAATGACATAGCAAACTAGCCTGAACTTGGACAATGAGGGACTTTCATTTCTTATCTGGTTACAGGACAATAAAGATGACTGTAAATCTAGTAACTCTTCAGAATACTTTGTTTCAATCAAAAAGTGAGAGAAATTATTTTTATCCTCTGTCCCTGTATCTTCTTTCCAGCCCCTCTCTTCTGTTTAAATCCTTCTTCATCATCTAGCATGTAAGGGGACATCTGCAGCAGCTAAAAAAGTAGGCACATCAGGAGAGAAGGTGTACACTTACCCCCACACAGACCTCTGAGTCTCCTGCTGGTAACAATCTCCTGCAACTAGCAAATCCAGCCCTAGGCTGGATAGTACAGTTAAAATCACAAACCTGTGTTGCTGACAACCCTCTCTGTTGCTAAGGGAATTAACACAATTCAGCATTTTGACTACACTGCAAGTTAAAAGCAGGAAGACAAACTGAGCCATGGCGGACAAAACCTCAGAAATACCTATGAACATTAGAAAATGTGTCCAAAGAACAAAAAAATCTGAGAAAAAGGAACAGATTTATGTTTCCATGCAAGGACATAAATGTCACTCTTTGACACTGCTTTTCTTCAAACCAGTACCATTTGAAAGCTGACAGCAAAGGGTACAGCACCTGCCAGCTGCTGAAAATAGCCCAGGCTTTTCAATTATAAAAATGCATCACACAAATTAACTAAACATATCTAAGTTCCCAGTGACTGGGACAGCAGTGGGTGGAGAGCAGGAGGATTTATGTATTGTGCTGAGGAAAATGTGCACCATTTTGAAAATGAGATAAATAACTTTCAAACTGGGCATTACTTCAAATATAGATGATTTAACACCTACTATGATGTGCAGGACCCAATACTCCAGAGAAAGGCTCAGGTTATTACAGCTGTAAATGGTAGAATCTGCATTGATAAAAATGGAAGGAGCAAATTCCTAAACTGCACCATTTCTGCTTTTGATAAATTAGCAGGAAAAAAAGTAAAAGGAAAAAAAAAAAAAAACCCCAAAACCAAACCAAACCAAAAGCAACAGCTTCTTGAGAGGTGGTTAAGGGAGAGAGCTGCTTGCTTGGCAAATCACAGTTCCGACACTGAAATACATCAACTTGTCAGCCTTGACAAGAATCATTACTTAATTTTCCTAATTACTACTTTCAGCAGATTACAGTCAGACTCGTCATTGATTCAACCCTACACAGATAAATGCTGAATAAGCCTAGGAAGGAGAGTCATCCATCATGAATGACAAATCACCTCCTCCCTCACTTTCTGTATGCAAACCTTCCCATTTGAACCACGTATCGCCTGAGTTAGAAAGACATATTTGGAGAAAGGCTATTGGTATTTTTTTTAATTTGCTTAAAAGTAAAGCTCTGAATGCTACAAAATACTGGTATTCAAAAAGATTTGAAAGCAGTTTTGAAGCACTTAAAAGAAACTGTCAGCATTTCCTGAAACTTAACCCAGGAAATATACTAAATAAATTAATCTACCATGAAGACTGAGATTCGCATGTTGGCATTGAGTCAGCAGATTCTCCCCTAACAAAGTTAAGTGAGCTGCTAAGGGTGCCCCTCTACTATTGAAATGTTGCAAATATACTAGAAATTAACTCATGATGGAAAAGATTAAACTGGCCAGCTACTTGCTTCAGCAAGTAACCTGCTATGGCATCTGTGCCAATTACAGCAGTTGGTTTTAAATATCAGCTTCTCTTAGAGAGAAAACCTCATATCTGAGCATAGCTACTCAAAAGCGATTCTTATAGAGGAAATCACAGTATGAACTCTGTTTCCACAGATGAAGTCCTTTGGCCTACATCTGGAGCAGATGGGAGGGAAGTGCTTGTTTCTTTTCCTTACACCAGGAGTTTTTTCCTCTCCCTCCATCATAGTTGCTAGGCAGCCTGCAAAATGTCAGGATGAGAAGCCTCACACTTCTTTATGTGTTGTGTACTCTGATGCTGAACAGCAAGTGGGAAAAAAAAACCCACAGAAAACCAAACAAATGAGAGTGCGCTTCAATTTCTGTCCTAAAAGATGACTCTCTTGGTCCACTGATTCACAATGACTGCAGTGATGACCGACCCTGCACTTGTGTTAAACTCATTGCAGAGCTGGAGTCTAAAGTCTATGTCCACATAGAGAAGCCAGGATAATGGTTAGCTATCCCGATGCAAGGGGAATATGCGATTGGTATTAATCAGCTTTATAAACTCACTGCTTAAGATCTCCTGAAAGAATTTTTAGTCCATATAGGAATTCAGCAACCTAGCCAAAACAGGCCCAGACTAATTTCTCTGTGGAAGAATTACTGTTATTTTGGGTAGGCTGCCTGTGCTACATTCCCAATACCCCTTTAGAAATCAATATGCCCCAAAGTGTTGATAGAAGGATGCTGATGCTCATTTCTCCAATGGTTTCCAAATGTGCTACAACGGGTTTTCCCTCATACCAGGCAGCTGAATTTGCAAGAACTGTGTTTAAAAGGAACACAGAGGAAGCATTTATCAGGAGTAACAGTATGACTTTTTGAGGTATACATATGTGGACTTCTCACCCCCCAGCAACCACTAACATGGAACACACAAATTATTGCTCTACAAGAAAAACATCATAACCCCAGAAGGCATTTTGCATTTCAAGCCTCCGGAAGATGAGAGAGAACAAGTTATGTTATTAAGAGGATAAGCTAAATGACAATCGCAATTGAAGAAATGGAAAAGGATCTGTAATTACTCCTACCTTGCCATGGCTATGCCAACAACACAGCCTCCAACTATAGACCAAAATCCAATCCAGCCTGCGTCTACCTGACAGGGAAAAAAAAAAAAAAAAAAAGGCAAACCAAAACAGAGAAATGTGTTAAAGCTAAGAAAATAAGATGATAAAATGTTACTTTCAAAACAAATGATGTGAGAAGCTTCAAATTGCCAACAATATTCCCCAACCGTAATCTGAGTAGATTTTTTCTAGCATATTCAAAAGGAAATAAATTCACTAAAAGAAAGTATGACTAAGTAGCCTGTGCTTGAAATGTGACCTCTCTTCACAGAATCTGAGTAAAGAAGTAAAGACTTCTGGATTTTTATAATACTCTATCAAAAGCTTAGAAATCCTCTTCTCCCCACTTCATCTTTTCTACCTGGTAAACATTATTTTCTTTTACTAAAGGTGCAGCAGCCAACAATAGTCCTGTTTGTTTACCTGTCTCTTCCTTCTTGTCCAAAGGTTTGTATGGTTCTGAAAATACCCACCACTGGTGGAGTCAGCAGGGAGAATCATGACGCTTTGGGATGCCAAAGCTACAGTTTATTTTGTTTAAGATTTCAGAAGAAAAGTGGTCCAAACATAAAAACCTGATAAAAGTGTATGCTAGTGCAAAATAAAAACATGCCACTTACAAAACAGCTGCTGAGTATCAGTTAGGAGATACTTACTTGGCTGACGTGAACTGGCGTTAATATCAAATCCAGAACACCAGACCAGCCAGAGAAAACACCCAGTGGTATAGCATAGGCTAAAGCAATCATCAAGAATCGGAAATTGCTGTGAAGACAAAACATGCAATTAGCTGCAGCTTATATTAGAAATTTCACCACAATTAGCTGCTAGAGTAAATGACAGCCTAGAATTTATATTCTGCCCATCACAAAAAATAGCAGAGGTCTGAAGGAGGAGTGAGCCACGAAAATCAAGAAAGGTATCTGGCCATGTCACAGAAATTCTAGTGGCTGAGATGTTACTGCCTTAACACTGACAATAAAAAAAGCCAGTCTCTCCATATAGTTCAAAGATTTTTGTAACATGCTGGCCTCATGTATTTCTCATTTCCACAAGCAATTCTTCCATGCATTGGCATGGGCAACCTACTTACCCTAAGTGTATGTTAGGAATAATCAGTACTAATTTAAATGACAAGAAATATACTTCAAGAATAAAATCAGAGATTCATGCTTTTTGAGCTGTGCTTTTTCTTCTTTTTAATCTGCTTTAATTCTCTTTATTTTGATGAAAGGCAGACAAAGCTCTGGAAACAAGATGGGTACAGTTGCAAGAGTGGAAAAATTTGACAGTTTGAACTGTCAAAAAACACAGACAAATATAATACTCTGCTCTAAACAGTCAACGTGTTTGCTTTTTCCTCCCAATTAAAATTATTCAGCCTTTAGTATTCAGTGGAAGATGAAGCAGTCAAAGCTGTGTCATCATTTACTCAGCACTGGTGAGGCCACACCTTGAGTACTGTGTTCAGTTCTGGGCCCCTCACTACAAGAGAGACATTGAGGTGCTGGAGCAGGTCCAGAAAAGGGCAATGGAACTGGTGACGGGTCTGCACAAGTCTCATGAGGAAAAGCTGAAGGAACTGGGGTTGTTTACTCTGGAGAAGGGTCAGGGGGGACCTTTATCACTCTCTACAACTACAGAAAGGAGGTTATCTACAGAAAGAAGGTTGTAGTGAGGTGCGGGTCAGTCTCTTCTCCCAAGTAACAAGCGATAGCACAAGAGGTAACGGCCTCAAGCTGCATAAGGGGAGGTTTAGACTGGATACTGGGAAAAATTTCTTCACAGAGAGGGTAATCCAGTAACAGGCTGCCCAGGGAAGTGGTGGAATCACCATCCCTGGAAGTGTTCAAAAACCATGCAGGATGAGGCCCTCAGTGACATTAGTTAGTGGTGGTCTTGGCAGTCCTCGGTTAATAGTTGGACTTGATGATCTTAAAGGTCCTTTCCAACCTAGTTGATTCTATGATCATCTTCGCTGTACACAGGTAAACAGGAGTTGGCAGACAAATACCACCATCAATTTCTCCCACCCACCGTAACCAAAAGCAAATGTGAAATCTTTGCTAAGAGACATCCAACTTTTCCTCAAAAAATCTTTTGATTTGGGAAAAAAACCAGAAACTCTATTTTGAACTCTGCAGCAGTGATATTTTAAAGTGAAGAGATTTTACAGTGATTCCAAGGTTATCCCATGGGCTATCTGTGTAACCACAAAATGTGCTTCACCCATTTCACAAACAATTTACATAAAATTGATCTTGATCAGCATCAAGTCCTTGGCACGCAGCAGCAATTTGATAGCACACAGTTATGAAAGCCAAGAGGGAGAGAAAGAGCTTCAAAGATTCTCCAAAACATTCAGAGGCTTGCAGCTTACGTGGTTTTACTCCCCTAAAAGATCCATGCACAGCACACCACCCAGCATTTTTTTTTCCACTGTTCTTTTTCACACATTCTTTTTTTTGATTAACACATTTCTATCACATGAACATATCCTCCTCTTTCAATATCATTTGTGTCAGATTTACTTTTTAATGCAAAGAAAAACAACTCCCAAGCTTTCAGCTCTTCTACACATTGCTTGCATTTCTCCGAATGCTAAAGCATTTGCTGTCTTCCTAACAACTTTTTTTTCTTTCTCTTAAGAATGCCATACTCTTATCCTAGTCTATCTTGTATCATTTGGCATCTCTTAAAGCAGGTTTCTGATGCTATTTAATACTATCCATGTAAAAGCTAATTCAACATTTGTAGAATAAAATAAAAGGGAAAGTGCCTATTTAGCATGAACATTATATAGCCATGTCATAGACTGCAAAGAAGTAAAAAGTCTGAATTCACTCTTCCAAAATAATACTTGCTCAGTACTTAAAATCTTTGGCCACCTGAACCTCATCTTCATTAAAGAGCTACTTTTGAGGGGGTGAGTACTTTCTTAGTTACTTGACCGAGATCTCCAGTGGCATATTTATCTTCTGTAACTCAAGCAACGAGACAGACTGGCATGTGGGATAGCTGCTCTGTGCCATGTCCAATCCCTAGCACCAATACTAGAAAACCAGCTCTGCATCATGACATCCTCCAGTGACAGAGGCTGCACCCTGCCTTGTTTCCAGAATAAGGAAGGTGATCAGGAGAAAGGGATGCATGGCAGTGACAAAGCAGCACCAGTCACTAGATGTCATTCTGTCCCCCTTGTCCAGCAATAGCTAAGTGCTGGCTACCGTAAGTGCTAAAGCTATTTGAAGCATACATCATAAGTAGCAGTTTTGCTGTTCATGGTGCCAGTCACTTGTATTTGTTTTCCAATTTTGCAATTGCTCCACTGAAAGCAGAAAAATATGCTGTCTGTCACACCATTAGTTGGTGAACCCACACTGATTTCCATCGTATCAGCCCCTATGACAGTTAGCCTCTCTCTGTTAAACCATTCTGCTGGAAATACAAATTGTTTTTTTCTTCTGGTGTTTTTTCAGAAACCTGCTTAACGCCACTAGAATCTGTGCAACAGGCTGGTCTGGGGGAGAGCCCCATCAAAGCCAGTCACCATTTTCAGAATAACTTTGACAGTGCCTATTAACATCAGGCACACTCTGAGCAGCATCCATCACTGTATGGTGATGTCATATGAAAGTTTCATTAAGGAAATAATGAACAAGAACTGTGTTATGAAATTTCAAAATTGCCTATGCAGTCCCTTTAAAATATAAAAGGCATGTAACTGGCTAAAAACATCCAATAACTTCAAAGCAAAAATCACTACATGTTTACTTGATGCAGATTTTAAGACTTGTCAACTATTTACTTGTATTAAGTTTTCTCCATGGAAATTTGTGTCATATTCTGAAATGGCGGGGTG